AGAATGAGGGGGGGGGGAAACTGCCTGGGTGGGCCACTGAGGTCATGCTCACAGGACTCGTCGAATAAAAAAACGAAAGAAACAGGAAGTGGTAGAACAATGACACTGAGCTCTTTGAACAAAGCAAATTATTCCAGTGTGAGAGCACGCGGCCACAGACGTTGAGCTTTAATTACAAGGCAGACAGCTTTATCGTGTCCAATCAAATGAAACTCCTGACATTTGACCACGCAGCAGAGAATTGCTAATGTTTGAAGGAATAAATACACCTTTGTGGGCAGGATGCACTTATCAAGGAAATCATGGCTCCACCATGGCCATCGACTTAAAATGTCCAGCAGTCTTGATATGATGCTGTGAATAATCCTCTATTAATTTGTCATTCAAATGCCACAAAGTATGTATTCATTCCCCCTGTACTTTCACTTTTGCATGGCATTGTCATATTTTCACTAACATATGTTTTTGATGTGATATTTTTGTTATGTTTTTCTTGTAGTTTTAGGCTTTGGTTTATATGCTTTGACATTTACATGTGATTCTGACTGGCTCATTGAAAACTGAACATTAGATAAAACGTCAGAAGGTCAGGAACTCGGGCCTCAGACAAGTTTGGTTGTTGAATAAGATACAATAGGGCACATAAAGCAAACAGAGAAATGCATAACTATTGTTATACCCAACCCAATCCCTTTTTGTCTACATTGACCACTGAAATAAGATCTCTGACAATGACAGACATTATTTTGTTTTCAAAACAAGCAAAAACATATTAAGATATTAAACTGAACTAAATTAAAATCAAGTTGTCAGTATCCTACTAAAATGTAAATCTAGCAACAGTTAAAGAAAACTTGTTCAGTTATTTTTATTACTGAAAAGGTATTGGCTGATGATGGAGACATGAATAAGAGACATGAATTTATGAGTCAATAAAAGGATTTGATGTGGCAGGGCAATTTTCTTGTGGTGTGCAATCAAAAAAATCAGTGTCACTGGGTTGTTGAATGACAATATTGGGGCAAATTTACTATATCTTCCAGGACAACATGGAAAGGTGCATAGAATCCTATGTGGAAATTCTGAGATGTACGTTGGCCTGAATGAATTTGTTCCATGCCTGGGCTTTGTCTGTCCTGTTCCATTCCATCAACTGGGTTTAAGACAGTCCATAAAATAAAAATCTGTCAATAAACCATCAGCAAACACCCAGACATAAAGAACAGCTCACTGACCATTCACCGCAGAGCAAAACCTGAATCATCACCTGTCAGAGGTTCTGTTTCTAATTTTGCAGTAAATGACACTGCAACAAAAGTCTTTTTTCGGAATTAATCACCCTGAATGTTATTTTCCATAGAAGCATTAACTGAAACAAAAACGCTCTCGCTCTTTCTGTCTTTCGTTACTTACAGGACTTTGAGGTTGTAGAGGCCTTGGAGCACGGGGCCAGGGATGTGTCTCAGGTGGTTGCCCGAAAGTCTCCTGTGGAAGGACAAAAGTAGTGTTTTGGTCCATTTGCAGTCCAACACATTGATGACTTTAACAGAGAGAAGAGAATCTGGTGAATTCATAAAGACGAGTATGCATGCGTGTGCGTTAAAGAGCTCACAGTGAAAACAAAAGTGAGAGATCTCCTTGGACGCAAGAACCACAGCAGCTGGGGTTCAGATCTCTCTGGCCGCTGGTCTTTACCGCTCATGTACAGAAATCACTCTTTTGTATGGTCTCCAAACACATCAACACATTTTGAAAGAAGAGCCAAGATATGAATGCACTCTAAGCTCCTTTTGCCTCCCGTGGCAACAAACATGTCATAGTACAACTGAATTTACAATGCCGAAGATAAAATGGTTAGAGTTGCTACTGAAGTGGAAAACGCACGATACGGTATATTGTTAGACATTGGTATAGTTTGAGGGCATCACGGTTCAGTCGGGGTGCAAATTATGGGAGTTTGATGTGTGTACTAAAATGCAAAATGGTGTTTTCAAACCAGAATATAATGTAGTCAGAGCACATAATGTCACCTGATGCCAAACAGACAATCTATGTTCCACTGAGGTAATCATACCATCATTATGCATTCAGAGCCAAAATCCAATTTTAGTCATTACAACAAATCATCCCTTTAAATTATCTTTCGAAATTTCAGTTGACCCCTTTAAAAATCACTGTATAATGTGCAAACAGCTCTGCAGCCAAGCAGAGCATCATGGCTGATACCTCCGAAAGTTCGTGAGACATGGGAAAGATGTTCCCAGAGAGAGCGAGAGCAAATATCAACCAGCTGTAGGCTCCCCCATCTAGACTAATCAATTTGTTTATCAAACAGATCACTTAAGCGTTCGTGCCTGTTTTTTCCTGGGTGGCAGAGTTTGAGGAAAGTCTGTCGAAGCCTCACAAGGAGTCCTGACAAGCTAAACAGGACCACCCACACCTCCTAACTGCTTTGCCTCAAAGTTGCTCCATCCTGCCGGAGTAGCCTCAATCTCCTCTTGTACTCCAAACGGTTCTTTTTGTATGACAAGATGAAAGTTTTGAGAAGTGCTGCCAATGTTTAGCATGTCAGTCAGCTTAGCTAATGTGATGGGTGCGACAGCTCTGGCAAAGCAACAACCGTGTTGTATACAGGCACATTGAGGGCCACACGAGCCCAGAAAGCAGAACGACATAACCCAGGATTGGGTCTGTGTCAAGGTCTGACAGATCACACTCCCTTATGCGCTCACACATACACTACCGTCTTCCGCCATTGAGCCATGAAGTCTCTGAGGTTTTTAATGGCTATCACTTCATGTTGTGCCAGACCACACTCCCATCCGCCGACTCTATTTCTGGTAAGACCGTGTGCCGCCACTCTTTCACAAACATTTGTTTTGCATAGGGCAAGAGACAGAGGGAAATAAAGCAGGGAGATGGAGGGGCTGGGGAAGGCAAAAATAAAAGTGTCAGATTTGGAGGCTGCGAAGCTTAGCGGTTCACCCCGTGTAAATAGGCCAGTGATGGTTTCACATGCATGTCGGATGAGGTTTCAGGCACGTACCACAGCAAGCTGTTCTGCTGAAAGCTCATGCCAGCTCTGTGGTCAGCTTTTATCCCTCGTTATAATTCAGTCATGTATCTAAACACTGGAGCTTTCTGCTTTATGTATTCTCACACATTACAGACAAACATGGCTTTAAAGCTAATTTTCTTAAGCCACTTGTGTCAACATGTTGTATATTCTTCAAATGATGAGTGCATTGTTATGAATATTAAGAATGTTTGTAAAGTCTTCAGAATTGAATCTGGCCATGGGAACAAAATGAGATTTCTTTAATATCTCAATGCAATTACATTTTAATGCATTGTATACACCAGAAACACAAATCCAGAAGGATTTCGTCACTCAATGGAAGGCATGCACAAAATAGAATTTCATTTCTGTATATGAAAGGCATTGAAGTGTAACTGCATTCTGTCATTAAATGCTGCATTTAGTATCATGTAATCCATTCATTCCACAACATTAATCAGGCTACACTTGCAGCCCCACACTTTCTCACTAGAGCAGTAGTTTCTGATTCTCCTCCTGGAAGGCCATTGTCCTGCAGATTTTAGCTCTAACTTGCCCCAACACACCTGTCTGGAAATTTCTAGTAGCTGAACTCTACAGGACAATTGCTCTCCAAGAGCACAATTGGACACCCCTGCACTAGAAATTTGAATGTGGACTTCTGTTTGACGTTGGTCTTTGCTTCACTTGGTTGCTCTGAAAATGGTCTTCTGAACAGTGGTGTGCTCTAGCAAATCAAAGACTAAAGTTACTTGGAAAATTGGTCTGGTTTGATTCATGTGAACTCTGGCATTATTTGCAGTCAATACAAACACAATCCATGCTAAATTGCATCTGTGAGCCTCTGTTGCAGAGGTAGCCAAACCTGCTCCTGGAGGTCCACCATCCTGCCCATTTCAGTTCCAACTCTACGCATCTGCCCTTTATCATTAAGTAATCCTGAACACCTTTATTAGGTTCAGCTGTGTTTGTTTAGGGTTGGAGCTGAACTCTGCTGTAGCCCACTAGGAGCATGGTTGGCTACCAATGCTCTGTCGATAGTATAGTCACATTTTAGGAATGTAATTCATTTCTCTGTGCAGCTTGTCTCAGAATAAATTACCTTTGGAGAAAGAAACCGTGGCATCTTCTTGTCCTGAATCCTGTTAACTGATAGTGCTCATGATTTGGGCAGATGCTGGGGATCTACTGCTATACCAGGAGTGGCCAACGTTGGTCCAGCAGAGCCACACCCCTTGTCCAAATACCCACACTTGCGGTCTTTGCACTTGACCACTTGACAACTCATATGACGTATTTCCTGTATTTGGTCCAAGTGTTCAAGTGAGCATGAAGACCACAAGTGTGAACTTTTCATTACCTGAGGGACACACTTATAGTGTTGTATAAATGCAAGTGTTTACAGAGCTTTATTTTTATTTTCATTGCTTTGCATTTTACAATCAACTTCTAAATGTCTGTTCAGTAGTCCCTATTACAGATGACACAATTTAATTTAGTGGTGCTTATAATTAAGTGATAAAAAGCAGTTGCAAATGTTGTACAAAATAATTATCACCACTACTCATTTGCACCAATAAAACGCACCAACTCTTTGTGACCTCTCACGAGATCTCGGCAAAAAGTCTCATGATTTATTTCCACAACATGATGCATGATGGGATACACTAAGCCACTAAGAGTGTGGATTTAGTGTGCGTTAAGAGCACTGCACTTTGGCGTTTTTAAGACCTGGGACAGTCTTGCGCACTTACTTCCTGTCACACACACGTGCTCTCAAGTGGCCAAGACCACAAGTGTGTGGGTATTTGGACAAGGGGACAGTCCTGCAGAGTTCAGCTTCAACCCTAATCCAACACACCTGATCCAGTTAATCAAGGGTCTAAGTGTTATTAGAAAGCTACAGGCAGGTGAGTTTTCATGAAGGTTGCAGCAAAACTCTGCAGGACTGTGGCTCTCCAGGACCGACATTGGCCACCCCTGTACTACACATTAGGGCTGCACGATATTGGAAAAAACTGACATTGCGATATCGTTTTTTGTGATATTGCGAAATACAGGAATGTTCATCAGATGTCTTGAATCGCTCAAAAATTAAATAATTAATAATTCTAGAATAATTGGGGTGATTTTGTAGGCATCTTAAAAGAAAATAAATATAATAAAAAAGTATTAAAAAAACCCTGAAAAATTACTTTTTACTTTTTTTCCTTATTTTTGGGTTGTTTAATACACTATTTGGGTGTGTCACCTTATTCACTATCAATTCAGGCAAATCAAGGATCGAATATGTTATGAAATTAATAATGAATGTTGCTTCTTACCCTAAAATAAGGGAGCTCATTTGTGAATGAAGAAGTGCAGTCTTGTGTCCAGAAGCGATCCAGTTATGAGGAAGCTATATGTATTCCAGGTTAAAACAGAGCACTACACTAAAGAGGACACTTCATTATAACATTAGGGAATTAACATGAGTGACAAAATAAGTAATTTAACATTTTATTCAACAATTACAAACCTCTTTTTGAAAATAGAAAAGTAGTAAACATCTTTTGTCACAAACTTTGAAAGAAAGAAAAAAAACAGCTATACACCAATCCCCTGAGTGGCTTATAAAATAAATATTTGTTATAAAACAAATAAATTGTAATAAGCTAAACTTAACATATAATAAATAACGTATATCAGAAGAATTATTTTGTTTTGCAGACTTTTTTTTAGCAACAATGCCAAAGTAAAACAAGTGTTGGTCATCATAGCTAACAAATAAAGATTAAATTAGACTTTTCAACAACTGTATAAAAAATACATCTAGTTTCTTTCTGTTGCATATAGTAAATATAAATATTTGGTAACATTTTACAAATAGGTTTATTAGTTAACATTAGTTAACTACTTTAGTTGACATGAACTAAGAATGAACAATACTTTTACAGCATTTATTAATCTTAGTTAATGTTATTTCAACATTTACTAATGCATTATTAATGCATTATCTTTACTAATGCATTATCAAAAGTTGTGCTTGTTAACATTAGTTAACACACTGTGAATTAACATGAACTAGCAATGAACGACTCTATGTTCGTTACCTAACATTAACAAAGATTAATAAATATTGTAATAAATGTATTGTTCATTGTTTGTTCATGTTAGTTAATACATTAACTAATAGAACCTTATTTTAAAGTGTTACCAAATATTCAAATACACCAATTTGACATGTATGGATTAATTTGCTCATTCAAACTTAGAGGTTTTTGGCTAAGAATACCAGTCTATCCACCATTGCAGGCTTGAGACTTGAATCTTTATAGTTCTCATTGATTTAGTACAACATCTCCTTCTTCAAGGTCTTAGTCAGGTCTGTGTCTTCCTCATGCCTTAGCAGCATTGAAGTGTTGAAGAACTGGCTTCACATAGGAGC